CCCCTCCCCCTTTTTCCTCCCCCCCCCACTGTCCTTTTTCCGGAGTCATTCTAATCCCTAGAACTAACTGAAAGATTCGGCCTATTGCAACGAATCTTGGGGTGCCACGTGTTAACAGACCGACTCGCACACACGCCGGGGCTCACGTGATTGATTCATCCTGTCGGATGCAATTGCAGGCCTGGCGCCAAATGTATCTGGAGCTGGTAGTGGTCCGAATGCATTCGAAATGTTCGACCAGTCCGAGTGTATCTGGTCGACGTGTCGAATGTTACCAGCCAAGTGGAGTGCGGAGCGGAGCAGAATGATGACGACGGTTGAGGACGTGGATTGTTGATTGGAGGCGCCGTGGACGATGAGGCCAAAACAGTGGGGCGGGATTTCTTGGATGCATGGATGTATGTATCGTACTGCATAAACGAGCAAAATGCAGTCGATTGGTTGGGAAGAAAAGCAGTCGAAAATTTCCAATGAATTGTTGTGTTGAAAAGGGCGGGGAGGGCGACCGTGAGGCGGGTTCTCCCGTTTAGTTTTTAGAATTGAATTGAAAATGTGTGTAAAAGAATTCTCAAAAAAAAAAAAAAAACAATTCTCCGCATAAAAGATGTTCCAGTGAATTGTTTTTTTTAAAAAGGGCGGGGAGGGCGACCGTGAGGCGGGTGTTTGGTTTTTAGAATAGAATTGAAAAAAAATGTGTGTAAAAAAGTTCTCCGCATAAAAGATTTTTTTTATCTTCCCGCTTCTATCAGGCTGAATTGTTGAAACTGCAAACGAGTTTCAACAATTCAGCCTGAGCGCGAATGGTTTCTTTTTTTTTTTTTTCAATTCTGAGCGCGAATTGTTGAAACTGCAAACGAGTTTCTTCTGAGCGCGGTGTGCGCACGGCAGAGAGTGTGGAGCGCATGGAAGAGGATGCATCTACCGGAAAATGTGGAATGAATCCGTGTGTGTTCTTGCACATAAGGACACTCCTCTGGAGGATGCATGTACCCGAAAAATGGTCGGATTCCGTCGCAAACGTGCGACATATGCCATCACTACCGAGCGCGGTGTGTGAACGGAAGCGGAGGAACAGTCTCAGGACGGAGACGAGCGTGACGAAGCTTGTCGTTCTCTATAGAATTGGATTCTTTTCTTCGCTTTTTTTTTTTTTTCCCCCCCTTTTCCCCTCATTTTTCCGGTTGTTTGATTGCACTCGATTGGACGCTGATGGACTCAAGTGTGGGATTTTCCCGAACGTATCCTACCGCGATCACGGCTCTATCCGACTCTATCTAATCGCAATCACGTCCAGGAGGAGTCAGTTAAGAAAGTGCAAGTGTGTGTATACTATCTTCCCTCTAAGGGCGTGCTCACACTAGGACTTTTTCACTTATTATGGACATACTACTAGTAATTGCGGTTAGGTACATTCAGGTCCGACCGTAAATAAGGTCTGATACATGTAAGATAGGGGTACTCTGAGTACGCCCTGAGACAACCAACACATACCCATCCATAGATTTTGCCGACAAGCAAACCCGTTTGCTGTCCTCCCTCCGCTCTGTCAAATGTCCACTCTCTGCCTCTCCCCTGCTTCGGTCTCTCTCTGTCTGTCCCTCTCCCACGTCTAGTTAACTCTCTCTCTTACCCACCCATCTATCTCTGTTGGTATTCGTATTGTTTGTCATGTTGAGCGGCATTTCTTCACACAGAAGGACAATCGCGGGGAGGGAGAAGGTATCAGCCACTCAGCGCGCTCCCACCGGTATTCGTATTGTCTGTCATGATGAGATGAGTGAATTGGCTGCTGGCCTGCTGAGAGGATACTCGGTCTGGTGACAGACTCTTCCGCGAATGCTGAGTTCTGCGCAGAGGGTGCTTCAGCGGCGCATTGCTTGGTGAGAATCTCTTCCTCTTGACGACGTCGAGCCAGCCAAATGGGGCTCGTTGCACTGCTCACCAAATGTGAAGAATAAGAATAAATTTTCCACTAGAACATGCAAATATGCACCGCCATAGTTTTTTTTTTTTTTTTTTTTTTTTTTTTTTTTTTTGGAGAGCCATAGTTTTCGTCTTTTGTGCATGTCTTGAGTAGTGGAGGAGGGGAGGCCTATTGTGTGGACTTACGTTTCTTTGGACAGATCGACGAGTGAGAGAGTGCAGGAGCATGAAGGATACAACGCTTGTGTCTTACACGTCTTACACACATGCCGTTGGTGTCTTGCACGAGATCGTACAGAATTGGCCGTGTCTTGCACCGTCTCTTACTCACATGTCCTTGTTCAATGTGTGTGGAAGAGAGGGAACATAGAGAGATGTGAGAACGAGGTTAAAAGTGAGAGAGGTGAGAGACAGGTGACAGAGAGGTGAGAGAGAGAGGTGAGAGAGAGATTAGACCGAGGTGAGGGCGAGGTTAGACCGAGGTGAGAGAGAGTGGGCGGGGAATTCGGCTATGCAACGGTGGAGAGGAGGAGGAGGTTCGAGAGAGGTAAGAGAGAAGTGAGAGACAGGTCAGACTGAGGTGAGAGCGAGGCTAGAGAGGGGTGAGAGAGAGTGAGCGGGGAATTTGGCCATGCAAAGGTGGACAGGAGCAGGAGGAGGAGGAGGAGGAGGAGGAGGAAGGGCTTGAGTCAGAGTTAGCTCTTACTCGTTGAGTTTCGATTGGCGCGAGCTTTCGACTGCGTGGGGGGTGAGGAGAGCCGAAATAGATTTTGGGAGTTTCTCTGTTTTGGCGCGCGCGCGGAAGTAGCAGCACATTTGCGAGAGCAAAGTCGGAGCCAACGGGGGGAGAGAGATTTGGACTCTCCTTCGCTTACGCGATCGTGCGTGCAAATGAGGAGTCGGAAGCAGTTTGCGTGCACGCGCACGCGCACGCGGACGCGGGCGGGTAATAGGTGACAACATACGAAAGCAGTTAACGCGCGCACAGGTGAGAAAATGCAAAAGCAGTTAACGCGCGCAGAGAAACGGTAAGAGGAAGGAGCACACACACACACACACACAGAGAGAGAGAGAGAGAGAGAGAGAGAGAGAGAGAGAGAGAGAGAGAGAGAGAGAGAGAGAGAGAGAGAGGGGGGGGGGGGGGGGGGAAAGGGGGCGAAGCATCGATCGTTCTTCGACATGTTTTTGTTTCATATAGAAATCAGTCGATGGCGGGAGGGAAACGACAGATCTTGGTATTTCTCGCTTGCGTGCGGTGCACGTTCTACTGCGAGGCGCAAAAGATGAAGTCGAGGAGGAGGAGGAAGATACCTCTACCGACTGGCTGGCTGGCGTGAGGGCGTGTACTCACACTCAGACTTTTTCGACTCCTCTTGTAGACGTTAATGCGGGCCCGATTCATCTAGGGGAGTCCTGGTGTGACCATGTCTTGAACACCGATTGTTGATCGCCGCCAACGCCCGCCGTGTTGGAAGTCCAGCTACTCGACCAGGCCGCGATATCGTGGATGTTTTGCTGGCTTGTGATGGGGTGTGAACCGACAGTCTGTAGAGTTTTCCATCTGGTGTGGGTGAGTGATAGTCTACTTTGATTTTGGTTAAGGTAGATTATCATTTACAGTGTAATCAGTGAGGGGATTCTGCAGACTGTTGAGGGTTCAGCCTCCTGATGAGTCGGTGAAACTCCGACGAATCAGTTTGTCACAGCCCCTCGTTTGTTGTCCTCTTCTCTCTCTCTGCCTACGGTTTACCGGGCAGTTCTGTTTGTGACGATATATATATCGGGCAGTCGTTGATGCTTAACCACAACCGGGGATAAGGTGGATTATCACTTAAAGTTTAATCAGTTAGGGGATTCTGCAGACTGAGGGTTCAGCCTCTACTGATTGATGAGTCGGTGAAACTCCGACGAAACAGTTTGTCACAGCCCCTCGTTTGTTGTCCTCTTCTCCCTCTCTGCCTACGGTTTACCGGGCAGCTCTGTTTGACGATATATATCGTCAAATAGAACTGCCCGGTAAACCGTAGGCAGAGAGGGAGAAGAGGACAACAAACGAGGGGCTGTGACAAACTGTTTCGTCGGAGTTTCACCGACTCATATATATATTTTGTGACGATATATANTTTTTTTTTTTTTTTTTTTTTTTTTTTTTTTGTTCGTGTTATATTACAATAAAACTTGAGCAGGAGGAGGGGGTGCAATGGAGGCAGGTGGGTGGAGGAGGAGGGATGGATGGAGGGAGTGGAGGGATGGAGGCGAGGTGAAGGGATGGATGACACTTCATTCTGCTTATTTATTTTTTGGTTATATGCTGACCAAGCGCCCAGCTGTTTCTTTGGTAGTAGGAGGAGCTGGGATGGGAGTAACCGCTCAATCAATCAATCAATCAATCAATCAATCAATCAATCAATCAATCAATCAGTCAATTGATTGGTTGATTGAATGGCCAAGGATTGAATCAATCGACTGATTGATTGATTGATTGAATCAATCAGTCAATCAGTTGAATCAATCAATCAATCGGTTGATTGATCCAATCAATCAATCGCTCAATCATTCAATCACTCAATCGATCGATTGTGTTTTTGGACGTCACTCCAGAATGTCCAGCGGCTGCCTCTGGGGGTTGCTGACCGCTTTGTTTGTGTGCAGCTGCACTGCAGTGTTAGAAATGCGAATGCTTTTGCAACTCTTGTGTGTGTGTGTGTGTGTGTGTGTGTGTGTGTGTGTGTGTGTGTGTGTGTGTGTGTGAAAATCTGGATTGTCCCGGATCTCAACATGTCCGGTGCCGGTACACGTCTGAATTTAAGCGGACACAGGTCTGGTGTTCTGTCCCGGATTGGAACATGACCGGTGCTGTTACACGTCCGGATTGAAGAGGACACAGGTCCGGTGTTCTGTCTGGACGTGTCGGGTGTCCAGCTCCGAGGTATAGTTACTATCATCAAGGAGGAGGTGTGACACTGTATTTGGAGTGAGCGGCTAAGTTCTTGTTCATGTGTGTGGATCTGTACGTCTGCAATCTTTAACAGCAAGGCGAGGAGGAACCGCGCTGGAGAGTGATCGATCACAGTTTCTGAGAAAGAATGATGCTGTACGTGGGGAGGCACACACATTGCTTCGCCACCTCTGTCAGGTTCTAGTTCCCTGACAGTTCCCTGTCATTCCCCTCACATTCCCCTCACATTTTTCTCACATTCCCCTCACATTTCCCTCACATTTTCCTCGCATTCCCCTCACATTTCCCTGAAACAGTTTCCTGAGAGTTCTCCTCAGAGTTTCCCAACCGGATGGTTCCCTGATAGTTTCCTGACAATGATTCCCTGACAGTTCCCTGTCATGTCCTCCACATTTCCCTCACGTTTCTCTCACATTTCCCTCACATTTCCCTAAAACTGTTTCGTGACAGCTCCCCTCACAGTTCCCTAACCTGACAGTTCCTCTGAAAGTTCTCTGACAGTTCCTCTCACAGTTCTCGGACAGGTGCCTGACAGTTTGCTGACAGTTTCCTGATGATGGTTCCCTGACAGTTCGCTGTTCCCTGTCAGTTCCCTGACAGTTCACTGAAAGTATAGTTCCTGGACAGTACACGGCAGGTCGCACTTACAGTTAGCAGAGTGACAATTCTGTTTGTGCAGTTTCATACCTGGTACCGGGGAGTGACAGAATTCCCTGATTATTCCCTGACAGTTCGCCGACAGTACTCTGCGCTTTCATAACAGTTCACTGACTTTTATCCAAAAGTTCAGTTACAGACCAGGAGAGAGAGAGAGAGAGAGAGAGAGAGGAGATGGAGATGTCTGCAGCCGGGTTGGCGACGAACGGGGGTGTAGAGTCCCGAGGCAGGCGTCGGGCTGGGCTTCTGAAGCATCAACTTCAGCTGTTGAAGAGGAAGGATGGAGATCAATCAAGATATGAAATTGCGCCCATATCAGAACCATTGTCATTCGAAAAGGGTTTTTTCCTCTTCATCCGAGCTTTGCAACTGCTGACTCAGCATAATGATGGCTTGCTGGTCGTCGGATTAGCTGGTCCTTCTGGGGCGGGCAAAACAGTCTTCAGCGAAAAAGTCAGCGATTTCCTCCAGGGGATTGCCATCATATCCATGGACAATTACAACGACTCCAGCCGAGTGATCGACGGCAATTTCGACGGTATGTGCCCATGATCCATCCATCTGTATCTGGCCTCCCCCTGGTTTTCTTCTCTTTTTACTTTTTTTTTTCTTTTTTTTTTTATGCGCAGGGGCCATGCTGATCTTCTCTGTATCATTCCAATTTTAAAGACAATTTTAACGGATGCTAATCTTCTCTTTTTACTTTTTTCTTTGTTTTCTTTTTGGGAAAAGTTTTGAAATGCGTCTGAGTTGACTTACCGTGTCTTGCCCAGTACTGGGAGTAGTGGTGGAGTACTGGTGGTTCAAGTCATGGAGGAGGTGGAGCATGAGAGTGTTGGTCAGAGTACATTTGAAGACTACGTGGTCGAACACTGACCTTCTTCACCTGAATAGAAGTCTGGTTATCATCACTGTATCTAGACTAAAAGTGCCCCCAAATACATCTGTAATGACCGGGCGTTCTGTTTGGGCGAGTGCAGTATCAGAAGAGGAGGAGAACATGACACTCGAAAAAAAAAAAAAAAGACGAAAGAGAACGTCAAAAACAACCAAAGAGAGAGAGAGGACAAGGCACTCTTAAAAAAAAAAAAGAAAGAAGAGAGAGAGCATGGCAGTCGGAACCTCTGGAACTGAATGGCTGGGTTTGACACCAGGGTTAGTGGGACCTCTAGCTGGTCTTAAGAGATGATGAAGTGTATGCTTTTTTTTCTGGTTGTAGGTGCTTACGGTCCGGGCTCCTTGTCCATTCTGGGGAGCGCGTATATGTGTATCGGTGAAACTCTGACGAAACAATGTGTCACATGCCCTTGTTTGTTGTCCTCTTCTCCCTCTGTGCCTACGGTTTACTGGGCAGCTCTGTTTGATTATATATAGCAGACTGTCACTCACCCACACCAGATGGAAAACTCTACGGACTCTCGGTTCACACCCCATCACAAAACAGCAAAACACCCATGAAACAAAGAAAGCTTTGTCACAGCCAAAAACTACACTCCAGACATGCCGCTGGCACTAGAGGCACAGCATGGCCGCGTAGTGACGGCCCCGACCACTGCCGCTTGACCTGACCGGAGAAAACCGTAGCAGGGTGCTAGCGAAGTCGTGGTATATACAGTCAAATAGAGCTGCCCGGTAAACCGTAGGCAGAGGGAGAAGAGGACAACAAACGAGGGGCTGTGACAAACTGTTTCGTCGGAGTTTCACGGACAGGAGGCTGAACCCTCAACGGTTTGCAGAATCCCCTAACTGATTACACTGTAAGTGATAATCCACCTTAACCCCGGCTGTGGTTAAGCATCAACGACTGCTTAACCCTGGCTGTGGTTAAGCATCAACGACTGCACAACTGATACCCTGAGGTGGGCACTAACCACTTCCCTCAAGGTACCTGTGACGAAAATCAAAGCAGACTATCACTCACCCACACCAGATGGAATCTTGAGGGCATGGGTTGGTGCCCACCTCCGGGTATCAGTTGTTGGGCAGTCGTTGATGCTTAACCACAGCCGGGATTAAGGTGGATTATCACTTACAGTGTAATCAGTTAGGGGATTCTGCAGACTGTTGAGGGTTCAGCCTCCTGATGAGTTGGTGAAACTCCGACGAAACGGTTTGTCACAGCCCCTCGTTTGTTGTCCTCTTGTCCCTCTCTGCCTACAGTTTACAGGGCAGCTCTGTTCCATGTCAGTGAGGGGATTCTGCAGACTGTTGAGGGTTCAGCCTCCTGATGAGTCGGTGAAACTCCGACGAAACAGTTTGTCACAGCCCCTCGTTTGTTGTCCTCTTCTCTCTCTCTGCCTACGGTTTACCGGGCAGTTCTATTTGTGACGATATATATCAGATCAGAGCGCACAAAAGGGGAAAGAAAAAAGGAAGAGGAAAAAAGGGGAAGGGGAAGAGGTAAGGAAAGCTCCACCTGTTCATAACCTCTTACGTACAAGGCCAGCCACGTGGATGACAGGTTGAGCGCTGGCTGCCCCCATYCCCGTGTGTCACAAGGACCCACTTGCACGCAGCCAAAAGGCAAAGAGGTAAAGAAAGGGAGGAAACCAAACCTGACAGGGAATATATATATATACTTCTTCCACTCCACGACAGTGGGACCTCGCTGCATTACTCTACAACTGTGCAAAAAGAGAACGAATCTTCCTCTAGAACACGGAAAAATACACTGACATATTTTTTTGTCTTCTGTGCATCTGGTGAGTAGTGGAGCGAGGCCTACAGTAATAGCCGATTCGAGAACTGTGGATTGATTTTCTACATCATCGTCGACTTCGTTGCTTATAGCCATCGCCATCACTTCCATATCTGCTTTCGACTCGTCTCGCGCCGTTTCTGCACTACCTTTCATTCTTTCTTTAGCTACATTTCCACCATTTTAGACATCAGTACTCTATCTTTCATTCTTTCTTTAGCTATATTTCCACCAGTCTAGACATCAGTATTCTTCGATTTTGATCTCTATAAGTGATCGGTTCGCCACAGCCTTCTTCCTTCCATAGTGTCCATCAATTTTCAACATCCTACTCTTCTATCTTGACTTCCATAGCTGATCGGGCCGCCATCGCCGTCTTCCATATTGTCCAACAGCATCGTGTTCATAGACATCATCATAGTTCTCTATCTTGACTATCTTGACTTCCATAGCTGATCGGTCCGCAATCACCGTCTTCCTTCCACATTTTCCATCATCTTTCCATATTGTCCATCGATGTTCGACATCATAGTTTTCTATCTTGACTTCCATAGCTGATCGGGCCGCCATCGCCGTCTTCCATATTGTCCAACAGCATCGTCTTCATAGACATCATACTGCTCTATCTTCAATTTCATAGCTGATCGGTCGGCCATCACCGTCTTCCTTCCATCTTGTCCATCATCATCGTCTTCGCAACTGCTCACTCTGCGATTGCTATCTTCTTCCATAGCTCTCTTCTATCCGACTCATCGTCTCGAGGCGCTTCTTCTCTCTCTTTCTTCGACATATCTCTCTGTAATACTGTACGTCTTGTCAACGATCTCCTCTTATCTTTGACGTCATCGTCTTTCTTTACCATTTTGACTTTCATATAGCTGATCTGCCCTCCATCGCCATACTCCTTAGCTCTCTTCCATTGACTGTCTTGATTGCCTCTCTTCTGTATTATCGGTTTCATAGTTTTGTCTGATTGCCTGCGGGGAACGCGGCACCATTCCCCTCAACTTCCACGTCACGTAATCTCTTCATGACATGCTGTTGACGTCTCATCATGGAGTTCGTCGACATGATCGTGTTGTCCACGTGTCATCATCTCACACGTGATCGGAGTTATCGATCGTTGGTGGCAATCGCCAGTGGTCCTGCGGACTCACCGGCGTCATCGTAGCCGTCGACGTGTCAGGCCCACGTGGATTCTGCTGGCAACGGCGGAGGGTCTTGGATTCTGCGTGGATGCTGCTGCCTGCGGAGGATATCATGGATGTCGTGTGCTGACGAGTAAGTTCTTGCTGCTGCAACGGTGCTGAGGTACAGGCATGGCTTCAGTTTTGATTTGAACACTGGGTCACCGATGCAGGGGTAAACGCATCTATCTGGCTGTTATAGCCGAGGTCACCGGTTCGATTCCGTCTGGCTGCGGAACGATCATGGGCTGCAATGATCTGTTCACTGACACTGACACGTATCATCTCTTACATGATCGATTATAGTTGTCGGTAGATCGTCATCGGAGCAGTACCTTTGGGCCTCAGCCCTCCGTGCAAGCACGGACTCGAACCGGCGACCTCGGCCTCACGAGCCAAGTATCTTTGTTTTTTTTTTTTTTTTTTCACAAGAACAAGCAATATTGAAATCCATACGAAGAAAAGCAAGATTCTGAACTAAACCGCCCGCCAGCACTGATTACGTCTGTAGAAGGAGAAGGATTGATTGGCAGGAGGTATCTCCCCAAACGTCCTTTAATGCATGTGGCCCCTTGCAAGCACCGAAAGAACTTCAAAGAAGAGTATTCCCCACTACCCCACACTAACCAATGGCCACCTGCCACACCCACCTTGCACGAGCCAAGTATCATAACCACTACAGCCAGGACACGGTGTTCACGAAAGCGGAACCATACCGGTCCTGATATCCGCCCTACCCCTGCAAGGCTGTAGTGTGTCCACACTAAACACACACCACACACCACACGCAACACCACACGGTCGCTGGCAATCACCGCACACTGCGCTCCAAGTTGCACACGACCCCCCCATCGGTAGTATAGCCCGCTCACTCATGCGGGAATTTAACTGCCCGCCAGTTCACGGGAGCTTTCCAATGTGATTGGATCAGTACCTCTGGGCCTCAGCCCTCCTCCGTGCAAGCACGGACTCGTGTTTTTTTTTTTTTTTTTTTTTTTTTTATTTTGTTTGTGTGTTTGTGTGTTTGTGTGTGTGTTTTTTTTTTTTTTTTTTTTTTCACTTATTTTTAATTTTTTTTTTTTTTTTTTTGTTTTTTTTTTTTTTTTGTTTGATTGCGTGGTATTTTTGCCTCTTCTACTTTCTATCATTTTCTTCTAACGCGCTCTGTTTTTCGTCTTCTTTTTCTCTTTTCTTTTGATTCGCTGTCGTCCTTTCTCGTATCCACATCCCGTTTTCTATTCTTTGCCTCTCTCACGGCATATACTCTTACACGAGGACCTTTTCTACTCAGCTCTGGACGTTACTGAGGGCAGATCCGCTCGTGGCGGACCGTAATTGCAGTCAGATGCATCCGGAAGAGTAGTTTGTAAATTCGCTCTCATTCTTTTCGCTCTCGCAACGTTCGCTCCCATTCTTTTGTCTCTCTCACACGCGCTCTCCACGTGTTTTTCATCTCATCGTCCACCACTTTCCACGTCATCGTTCACAAGTGTCCACGTCACGTCGAACCGCTTTCCACGGTTTTTCCACGTCATCGTCGATCGCCTTCCACGTGCTTTCATCGTCATCGTCCACTGCTTTCCCCGTCGTTGTCCACTGCTGTCGACGTCATCGTCCAGTGTTGTCCACGTGCTTTCCACGTGCTTTCCACGT